TATTTTATAAATTTGAGAAACTCCTTTAAGCTCATTCATATAATAACGCGTAATCTACTAACAATAACAGATATTGCATGAATGTCTTTTCAATCTCTTCATCACACAATTGGAACAAACGACATGCAGATACGAGAACGGAGTCGAGAGTTTCGAATAAATCATCCAGATAAAGTTTAGGCATTGGCATAATTTTGTGATACTGTTAAGTTCCAAATATCTCGATAACTACTTATCTAAAATTGCTACAGATTTTTTATTTTAACTATATAAATAAATACAATCAAATAAAAAATTTTCATCGATTTTTGATAAGTAGATATTGAGTTAGCATCGCAGAAAAACTTTGTCACAGTCATTTTGATAATCGTCTAATTTTTTTTATTATTTTAATTCTCTGAATCCATATAATTAAAATAAAAAAAAATTACATCGATTTTAAGTAGGTAGTTATCGAGATATTATCATCGCTCAAAGTTCAAAACACAAACTGCGGCTAGGTCTTCCAAACTTTGAGCGATGATAACTCAATATCTAAAATCGATGAAAAATTTTTTATTTTAATTCTATTTATTCAAAGAATTATCGCGGTTTTCGAAATGAGTAAAAAAATTTTTTTCTGGTATACGAGTGTACTGCGTATACTCGTATGCTGGATTACCTTAGCATATTGATTGAAGATCGATGTTTGATTTACTTATTGTTTCAAACAATAGTACGTACGTAATCAAACATCGATCTTCGATCCCATAGGCAGAAATTCGTCTGATTGGCCATTATTTATATAGTTTAAAGTACTTTTTAGAAAAGATAAAACTACGAAGAATAAACAAAAAAGAAACATATAAAAAGTTTTATTAGGGTTGTAGGACTCCACCATTAAAAATAATCTAAATTAATTCTGGGTTTAGAAAAGTTAGTATGGTAATAACCTATCTTTAAGAAGTCGCTATTATACTAACTTTTCTAAAACCAGAATTGATTTAGATTATTTTTAATGGCGGAGTCCTACAATCCTAATAAAACCTCTTATATGTTTTTTTTTGTTTATTCTTCGTAGTTTTATTTTTTCTAAAAAGTACTTTAAACTGTATAAATAATGTAAAATTAATTTGAATTTATTAGCCAATCAGACAAACTTCTGTTTATGCCATTTTTGGTCTTAATAAATTCATTCTCGTGATATTTTAACGCCCTTTCTTAAAATAGTAAAACATTATCTTGCCATTTTGGGAGTTTCTTACCAACCAATCAAAATCAGCAATTTTAAAAGCTACTAAGTTTTCTTTTTTTTTTAATTTTAAACGAAAGTATTTCAATGACTATCTGACCAAATTTAATAAAATTTTTTTAGTTTGAATTCTACAGATGCAAAACATCGATATTGACCCATTTGAATCATTGTTATTAACCTACTAAAAATCAGTATATCGTTATTGACTTATTTAAAAAAAATTATTGTTGCATTGCGACATATTATTGTCATATAATATCACATGTCATATGAACCTTTCGATTAATAATTCAAAAAGAGAATTAACTGTATTTATTTATAAATCTTAATTCTCAATAACGTTTTATTATACAAAAGTTAGTCGTTTGTTTCAACTTATTATTTTATTTCATTGAGCAATGTAAACAACCTTTTCATATTCGACTCTTCATTACTATCTAAGTGAAAATTTTCTCGAAACAAGCAATTTACAAATTTTTGCCTTTTCATTCAGTATATTTTAGAAAAGATTTTCTAGTGCACATCGTTTAGTGGCTTTAAATGAAGATGATGAATTGACGATTGCTTACTTTGTTTTATGGTTAATTAATTTAAAATATTATTATTAATTATTTAGACTTACCCTTTTTATATAGTAGAATAAGTTTGCAGTTCTTATAGTTATCGCTGCAGTTATTCGTTTCTGAACTGATGGTAGCATTAACTACGAGAGCTTCTTTGATTCCTTCAACTCCTCTGGTGTCTTCAACTTCATAAACACCACCATTTTTTTCATTTTTTTCAAAGGTTCAAGGAGTGAAAGTGTTAAAAACTCATAGATGGTTATTATTCTTAATAAATTTTCATAGAGCAGGAGATTGGTTTCTGGGTTATCACGGAGATGATGGCAATACCTTTGCTTCTCAGGATGGGGCAATACTTATGGACCATTGTTTTCTACTGGCGATACCACTGGATGTTGTTTAAATTTTAAAATATCACTTGTTCTATGGTATTCCGGTAAACCCAGTTAGTTATTGCAAAAAACTTAAACAAACTATAGTTGGTTTTTTTAAAGTTTGTGAATAAAACTATTTTCATAACTACGCGTATTTATTTTTAATTAATAATAAAAATTTTTACTGTATTTTAATTTCATAAATTTATAGAATTGAAATAAAAAAAAAGTTTATTGATTTTATATTTATAAGATATTGGTCATGCAACGATTAATATTATGAAATTTGTTTTGTCGGAGCAAATGGTTGGCTGACATGTGCCACGCAGCGGCACATTTCAGCCAATCATTTGTTCTGACAGAACAAATTTTATAATATTTATCATCGCATGATCCAATATCGATGTTATCGTGCAATTATGATCATGATTTTCAAGTCATTATTGGCTAACTGTGTTTTAATTCGAGATTGTTGTGCTTATATAATATCGTACAAAAAATAACAAGAAGAAAAAAATCTATGATCATAAGAATTTGCACGATTACTTATAATTATTGAGATATCTTTGTATTTTAAACTTCAAGCATATTTAATATTATTTATTTAAAATTAATAATAATAAAAAAATAAATTATTTAAAATTAATAATAATAAAAAAATAAATTATTTAAAATTAATAATAATAAAAAAAATAAAATAAAAAGATTTTAAAATTTTAACTATAAATTATTGCTAATAACAAACTACAACGTTAATGATAATGATAGCAATAACATATTATGGCTTTATATAAGCATTTCACCAACAATAATTTCACCGACAACATTTCACCGACAAAGTAATTCTGGTCATTGTTGTTAGTGTCATGTTAGAATTAGAGTTAAGGTTAGTGTAATTTATAAAAAAATACTTGTCGGTGAGATGAGCTGTCAGTGAAATAATTGTCGGTGAAATTAACTTGTCTGTGAATTAATATTCGGTGAACTAAGCTGTCGGTGAAGTGATTGTCGGTGAAATAATACGTATCCATTTAAACGCAAATCAGATTTGCAAAAATATAATGTTACTGTTCATATCATTTAACACTGTATAAATATCTAATATTAAATGATTTCTTTAAATTGAATATAAGCGAAGATGCTAAATTAAATATAGTCAGATCTCGCTAAATGAATTATAACGGGCCAATGTAAAAAATTAGTTTAACGTGTTTTAGGGAGGTAAAAAGTATATGTCTAATATTAGTTTGGGTTTATCACTAAATGGAGAGGTTTTTCATAGGACGTGCATTCAGAGAGGTTGCATTTAGGGGAATTAGTGAGTACGATTACAATCTGAATCACTGAAATCTTTCTCATCAAACCACTCTACCAACAGTACCAGAAATCCGAAGACATTTATTCCCATAAAAAGGACCCCGAATTTTTTGTGCCTAAGACTGCCTTCAACTTTCGCATGGACCCAATACGGACCATCTTTTGGAACATTAAATCGCGTAAAATCTTTATCAACCGCATCACAAGGGCTGTAATTAACCATGCCAGCTATACGTTCGACATTTTCATCTTCCACCCAAATTCTGCAATTACAGAGTGTCATATCTAGAATTGCACTGACATATCCTTCAATGACCGGAACAAATGTTGTGAAGATGCATATAATGATGGTGGTAAGAAAAAAAGATAATGAAAATTTCATAATTATTAACGTTCTGTCAGAAACAAAAATTTTTATAGTTTATTTCTTTATGAGTTGTATGATCTCTATCTACCTTTGAGAATTTATATTTTTTGCGTGACTGATTATAGGAATTATTTTAATTCAGCCAGCATTTATTTAGTCCTAATTTGTATGTTTAAAAAAGAATTTATTTAGACCCCATTAAATATTTACCCTTCAAGTAATCTTTATTGAAGTTGTCATAAATAAGTTAATCGTGAAATTAGAATTAATAAGTTTACTAATTTCCACCCGTCGATCGGCCCGGCCGATGTATAATTAAATTTTTTTGGCCAGTAGAAATGCATGAAAGAATAAAATTACTATGTGTGATTATGTTATTTGGCATTTTTTTATTTATATTCGGTGCGGGAAACAGTTATTGTATATCTTTTCAAGCGTTCCATACACCCATGGAAATCAGGTGATTGAATAGTAAACATTAAAAACCCATTTCCCTAATTATTCTGAATTCTTGATTTCCCACGGTGGTATGAATGAAAAACGGTTATAATATACAGCTGTTTTCAAAAGGATGTTGGAAACGATTTCCATATACCTGTGGAGAATCGAAATTCAGCGTAGTAAAAACTCGGGAAATCTTGTGAATTCTCCATAGTATAGTGATCTGCATCTTCCACAAAATTTTGAAATGAATGTTGAAATTACGTTATGGGTAGTGTATTGTCTTGATCATATAATCCTCGATCATTGATCGATTAGGCTTGATGATTGATTATGTTAATCGAATTAATGTTTAAATTTTGTTCTATTAAGGAAATATCTAAAAAAAAAAAAAAAAATTATTTTAGGCCACGCAAAGTTAAATTTAGGGTCTTCGTAAAGACCGGGATCGGACGGCAAAAGACTGAGGACAGAATAATTCTCAGTCCTCGGTCCAGAATCGTCCGATCCTGGTCCTGATTATGGTGTGAGACCGGAAACGTGACCTGACCGTAGGCACGTGGCCGCGTGACCCGGGAATTCCAAATTTGGGTTTACCGCCGGAATTCCAGGAATTCCCGGAATTACGAG